TTGGAAGAATTCCCTCCTTCCTTTGGAAGACCGGGATTGATTCTCAGCCAATGTAGTTCATGTAGCCCACATCTGTAATAAGAGGATTGAATGTTGCTAAAATGTATCCAGGTTTCAGCAGAGATTCTACATGGACTAGTAAGGAAGACAGGTGATCTATTTTCAAAAAACAGTAAAGGAAAACCCTATGGACCACGATAAGTTGATTTAAAATGATCAAAGTGATGGTGCAAGACCAGGCAGCATTTTCTTCTGTTATACCTAGAGTCACCGTATGACAGGGAGCCAACTAGTGAGTAACTAACAACAAAATGAAGTAGAGGAAGAAGATACAAGAAGAAATATCATCAAAGATACTTGGAAAAATCACTTGCCTGTCCTTAGTGTTGTTGTTAGGTGCCATTGAATCAGCTCTGACTCATAACGACCCTATGTACAACAGAATGAAACACTCCCTGCTCAAGCACCATCCTCACAACACTTGCTATAAATTAAGCCCAAGTAAGTTCTTTCATATATCTCCCTTTTGAGCTCTGATTACTTTGAGGTCTTTACATCTCTTCAGAACAAGTGGAAGATCTACAACAAACTGGTTAACTCTGAAGGAAAACTCTAAAATGCTTTATTGTTCTCAACTTGGCTGCACTTAATACCACTTGCGGTGCTCTGGTAGCATAGTGCCTAAGGAACTTGACTGCTAACCAGAAGGCTAGCAGTTCAAACCCACCAGCCACTCCTTGGTAGGAAGGTTGAGGAATCTACTTCCGTAGTGATACTACCTTGGAAACTGAAGGAGGGGTCGCTGTGACTCAGGTCTGACTCCACGGCACATAACAATAACAACAAAGAGGTGTTTTAAACATCTTATGTTCAATCCACCTACCATTCCTCACAGATCAGAATCCATAGTGGTGGAACAAATATACCTATCCTTTCAGCTTCCCAAATGATTCAAATATGAAGTCAAGGTTCAAGATCATGGGTTCTCACACATTATCTGCATATATAGTTCTATTAGATACAAAATACTTTGGGTTATAGATATGAATTATGACAAAGGATGAAGATTCTAAGTACATAAAAACAGAGCTGCATAATTTTACCAGGAACCTTGGACCATAGGGGAGAAGCTACAGGAGGCCACATAGCTATAATGGGATGATCATGTAGACTGACATATGGCAGAATACTCCTAATACCCCATTAAACATGTATCAAAGGAACCATTGCTCACAGATGAAAACTCAAAATGCAAAACTATGAGAGTTCTAAAAATTATGCAATAAAAAAGGCAAGATTTCTGCTTGCAGATGTTCAGATTTTCCATCTTCCTCGACTCACACATATCAACAACAAAACAATGGAACAAATTTTGAGGTCAGAATATTCTGCTGAAGAGCTTCTGCAGGGCTCTCTTGATGTCCCTGTTCCTCAGGCTGTAAATGAAGGGGTTCAGCATGGGGGTGACCACAGTGTACATCACTGAGGCCACAGCACCTTTTCTTGCGGAGGATGAGACAGCTGAACTGAAGTACACTCCGAGGCCTGTTCCATAAAATAAACAAACAACTGACAGGTGAGAGCCACAGGTGGAAAAGGCTTTATATTTCCCACTTGAAAATGAGACTTTCAGAATGGAGGAAATAATTCGAGTGTAAGAGAAAAGGATCACCAAGCCTGGAACACCACCAAAGACAGCACCAATGCAATATATTAGTATGGCATTAGTGGAGGTGTCAGAACACGCAAGGTTAAAGAGTTGAGAAGGGTCGCAGAAGAAACTAGGGACTTCCACATCTGTGCAGAAAGTAAGTTGTGACACCATTGAAACGTGCAGCTGAGACTCCAAAAGGCCTATGAAAAAAGATACTAAAACTACCAAACCACAGAGGCGGGGGTTCATGATGACTGTGTAGTGCAAGGGGTCACAGATGGCCACAAGCCGGTCATAAGCCATTGCAGTGAGTAATAGATTGTCCAGACATCCAAAGAGAT